TGTGCTAGTCTTTAAATTGGCTTAAGCTATCTTCATTCCTTAGCAGCTGAGGTCTCCTTGTGTTTGCCCAAGCTAATCCCAAATTCTTGGGTTCAAGAGATTTTCTTGCTTTGATGACCTCTCAGAGTAGCTGAGCCTATAGGCATTCTCCACCATACCCAATGTTAAGTAAGTTTTTATCTGTTTTTTTAAACCAGCTCAGTACAGTTGAGATGTTTTGTGTTTGAATTCTACTTGCTCTGCATCCTTGCACAAATTACCTCCTCTCTCTGATCCTTACTTTTCTCATCAACAAAATAGGGGAGACAGTGATTCAAATGTTTGTTTCACAGTAACATTTTATGGCCTTGTGTTAATATACTTTATATTTTATGTAGATTTTAATACTATATAGTATATTTATAAGCTATTTAGTATATTTATAGTATATATGTTATAGTATATAGTATAGTTATATACTATATAGTATATTTTAATACTATATATTTTATGACTTTATATTAATATAAGTAAGGGAAATCAAAATAGAGGAAAATAATTGATGAATAGGAAACAAGAAATCACTGATCATAGGGCTGGGAAGGTGGCTCAGTGGTAGAGCGCTTGCCTTGCATGCATGAGGCCCTGGGTTCAATTCCTCAGCACCACATAAGCAGAAAAAAAAAGCTGGAAGTGGCGCTGTAGCTCAAGTGGTAGAGCGCTAGCCTTGAGCTGAAGAGCTGACGGACAGCACCCAGGCCCAGAGTTCTGGCCCCACGACCAACCAAAAAAAAAAAAATACAAATAAAGAAATCACTGATCGTTATATGCTAGTTATCTTAAATTGCTTCACATACTCAGGTGTATACTCAACTATCTGAAGCTCACTGACTGTCACTTGGACCTGGTGCTAGCACTGTGCTCCTGGGAATTGTCACTCCTTCACAAATACTACCCCTGCTACCTTGCACTCTGCTATGCTACCTCCAGAGTCAAACAGAAGAGGCTAGTCTATATTCTCTTCCGTTCCCTAGGGACACTCAAGTGAATGGAAAATGAATCTGTGTTTTGTAGATCTTTATAGGGTGGTGGTTGAGTCCCAAATTAGAAGTCAGATCACCAGCTCTTGCTGTGACTGCGGACAAGCCACAGGCCTGAGTCAATAGGTAAAATAAGCCACTGAACTGGGTTTCTCTCTATGAGCCCTGCTCCAATATTCCCCTGATCTACCCTCTTGCGAGATGCTCAAACTTGTCCCCCATCACCCTCCAAGTAGTCCCCACAAAAACACACAACCTCCAGCATCCCAAGAAGGTAGAACTCAAAAGTGAGCATAGCCAAATAGGGGCTCACCACTAAGAACCAGGGGCCAGAAGAGTCCCCTTCACCAGTTAAGTTCATAAACTACATCTCCCATGATCCTCTCTTGGAGCATCCTGTCCTTCACCCTAAATCCTTCCCCCGGCCTTTCACACACCTGAGGATGATTCATCCGCTCTGCTCATGTGTTTAGTGATTTTCTCCACCACTAGATCACAGACTTCAAGTGAAGAGAAGTATCTGTTTACCATTGCCCTAGGCTGTACCTGGCACATAGTAGGTCCTGAGTATGCTGAATGAAGACAAGGAAGAGAAAACACAGGATTGTCACTTCCAGAAATTGAGTGGCTGGGGGTAGCATAGGTGGAAGGAACGAAGGAAGGCAATTAATTGTTGAGTAGTTGCCTGAAAACAGCTCTAATTCCAGCCTGTTTCTATGTCCATGACAAGACTTTTCCACAGTTTGAATCTCAGTCTCCCCAACTCTCAAAAGATGGATCTGGAAGAGAGGACCTCCAATGGTATTTCAGCTCACCTTACAAATCTTAGCATAGCCAAATATAACTAGCATATCCAAAGCCCCCAGGCCTCAGACAGTGTGTGTGTGTGTGTGTGTGTGTGTGTGTGTGTGTGTGTGTGTGTGTGTGTGTGTGTGTGTGTGTGTGTGTGTGTGTGTCATGCCCCTGTACTGGGGCTTGAACTCATGGTCTAGATGATATCCCCTTAGTTCATGTCCTTAATTTACAGAGTAGAGGAGGTATGGATTCTCCCATGAAACTGCCTCTCTTTCCTTCTCCAGAGCTTCTGCTCCAGCCAACCTCTCAGTTTGCCAGTCCCAGCTCCAAACCCAAGCCCAGCCCAGCTCTGCTCCTGTATCATGCATGCAGCTGTCTCTGCTGCCCGGCTAGAGCTCAGACAGAGACGTCTGTGTCTTGCTTGTCTTGGTGCACATGGCACCAAGCACAGATCCTACACCCAGGACGTGGCAAGGCAGAGCCACCAAGGTACCACTGACAGGGTCTGCCAAGATCTGCTACAGAGGATGCCACTTCCCAGGGGCAGGGGCAGCAGAGTTTGTGGTGGAGAAGCTGGGTTACCATTCAAAGGCTGATGGAGGTGCAGCACCCTTAGCCTTTGGCTCTCAGCTCCAGCACACTCCCAAGTCATCAGTGACAACCAGTCTCAATAGAAGACAAAGGGAGCCAGTGCCAATGGCTCACACCTGTAATCCTAGCTATTCAGGAGGCTGAGATCTGAGGATGATGGTTCAAAGTCAGCCGGAGCAGGAAAGTCCGTGAGACTCTTATCTCCAATAAACCACCAGAAAACTTTAAGTGGCGCTGTGGCTCAAGTGGTAGAGTGCTCTCCTTGAGCTGAAGAGCTGAGGGACAGCGCCCAGGCCCAGAGTTCAAGCCCCATGACCAACAACAACAACAACAAAAAGACTGAAGTATCCTCTCTGAGACCTGCAGTTACTAGCTCCCCTAGCCATCTAACCAGCAGGCTAAGAATACCAGCCATTCACTGGTCGTCATATACCGGTAATGCTAGCTACTCAGGAAGCTGAGATCTGAGGATCACAGCTCAAGGCCAGCCTGAGCACAAAAGTCTATCAGACTCTTGTCTCCAATGAACCACCAAAAAGCCGGAAGTGGAGCAGTGGCACAAATGATAAAGCACTAGCCTTGAGGAAAAAAAAAAAAGCTCAAGGACAGTGCCCTGAGTTCAAGCCTAAGAAAGAAGAGGAAGGAGAAGGAGGAGGAGGTGGCAAGGAGAAGAAAGGAAGGAGAAAAAAAGAGGAGCAGGAAGAGGAGTGGAAGAGGAGGAGGAGGGGGAGGCAGAGAAGGAGTAAGAAGAAGATGATGGCAACACCCCTGAATCTGACACCCCTACCATGTTCTATTCTCTCTTCAAATAAAGAAAAAACAAAGCATTAACTTCCAACCCAAGAGTTCTAGAAAAGGAGAACGCCCCCTCTGTTCGCGTACTAGATACAAAGGACACCTCCAAAACTGCCTGGTTTCACACTTCTGGATGCTTGGACAGGTAAGGCTGAGTGCTTTTGAGCACATTTCAGTAGACAAGTGCTGTACTCACAAGCAAGAGCAGGACAGGGGGCAAATGGACTAGTGTGCGCCTGCAACTGGACTGGCCAGAACCTTGCCTTTGTCACTTGCTGCCTTAGCACCACAGAGCAACTTGCTGAAACTCAGAACCCGTTTTCTTGTCTGGAAAGAAAAGTAAAGGTAATTCCGATTTCCTACATTGTGAATCAGTCATTGAGATGAACGTGTAACCACTTTAAAAATGCCATGAATATGAGTTGTTGTTAGAAATGGAAGGCCAGAAAGGAACTTTGGAAACACCCTAATTTATTTCCTACAAAAAAAAGTAACTTCTTCCAAGCTAGGTGCCAGTGGTGCACATCTGTAATCCTTAGCTACTCAGGAGGCTGAGATCTGATTATCACAATTTGAAGTCAGCCCAGGCAGAAAAGTCAGGGAGTCTCTTTTTTTTGGTCAGTCATGGGGCTTTAAATTCAGGCTTGGACACTGTCCCTGAGCCTCTTTGTGCTCAAGTCTAGTGCCCTACCACTTTGAGCCACAGCACCACTTCCAGTTTTCTGGTTATTAACTGGAGATAAGAGTCTCACAGACTTTCCTGCCCAGGACCACGATCCTCGCATCTCAGCCTCCTGAATAGCTAGGATTACAAGCATGAGCCACTGGCACCTGGCCAGGGAGAATTTTATCTCCTATGAATCATTAAAAAGCTGGAAACTGTGGTGTAGCTCAAGAGATAGAGTACTAGCCTTGAGCAAAATAGCTAAGGGACAGTGCCCAGGCCTTGAGTTCAAACCCAGTACCAACACACACACACACACACACACACACACACACACACACGTAATACTAGATTTCAGAATTTAGCTTAGTTTTGCTTTGTGGGGTAAAGAAACTTGACAAAGTACCAAGAAACTCAGATCCTAGGAAACTTCACGACTAGGTTCCCATGGCTGTTACTCAATGCAAATCCATTTTCAGAAAGATGACTTCATCTCCCAAGGAGAATCCCAGGAAGGGACTCTAAGAAGAAAACCAACAGGTCAGGTCTCTGTACAGAGCCGAGAGAGGGCTTGGTGAAGAAAAAAAAGTAAGATAAAAAATAAGACCAAGCATTGGTGGCTCATACCTATAATCCTAACTACTCAGGAGGCTCTGATCTGAGGATCAAAGTTCAAAGCCAGCCCTGGGTCATAAGTCTGTGAGACTCTTATCTCCAATGAACCAACAGCACACTGGAAGTGGTGCTGTGGCTCAAAGTGGTAGAGTACTAGCTTGAGCTGAAGAGCTCAGGGACAGTACCCAGGCCCCAAGTTCAAGTCCCACAGCCGAAAGAAGGAGGAGGAGGAGGAGGAGAAGGAAGAGGAGGAGGAGGAAAAAGAAAGAAGAAGAATGCAGCTGGCAATAAAAACAAACACAGACTTCAGTAATTCTAACCCTTCTGTTGGTCCATCTCTCATTCCAGAGAGATGGTAATTTGCAGAGTCACAAGTGTGAATAAACCATGAGCTTGTTTTTTAAAGCGTCCCACTAAACTTATTAAGACAAGCCCATGCTTTACAACACCGATTGACCAATGGAAGTCCAACTGGTCCCCATCTCCCATCCCCTCATCTCTTCATTCTTTGCCATTCTCACCTCCCCAGCTCCTCTCCGATTTCGTAAAAGTCTTCCACTCTCTGCTGTTTGAACGGCTCCATGTTTGGGCTCCTCATTGAGGCCTGGACCATACAACCTTAAAATGGAAGGGGAAAAAAATACTTGAGGTGAGAGCAGCCATGCAACTAGTACCAGCCCAAGAGTTTGAGACTGGTATAGCATATTGCCCACCAGGGAGCAAAGAATTGAACAGTAATCCGTAGCCCTGGTCTTTACAAGACTCTGCTCAAGCTTTGCTGCACTTGTAGCTGAGCTCTTTTTTTTTTTTTGGGTCTGGTCGTGGGGCCTGAACTCTGGGCCTGGGCGCTGTCCCTCAGCTCTTCAGCTCAAGGCTAGCACTCTACCACTTGAGCCACAGCGCCACTTCTGGCTTTTTTCTTTTTGCTTATGTGGTGCTGAGGAATCGAACCCAGGGCCTCATGCACGCAAGGCAAGCGCTCTACCACTGAGCCACCTTCCCAGCCCCTATAGCTGAGTTCTTGAGTCATCCTCATTCTAATTTGTTCAGGAGACAGAAATTGAGTCCTTTTTATGTCTTCAGATCTGTCTGCTGAGGTCTCAAGAAACAGAGCCTTGGTGAACTTTAACTATCTGTTCAATTAATTCCAGATCTCGTAAGCAGCAGCTATGTCATCGCAATGGAAAACACAAGTGCCGGATGCTGGTGGCTCACACCTGTCATCCTAGCTACTCAGGAGTCTGAGACCTGAGGATCACTGTTCAAAGCCAGCCTAGGAAGACAAATATGTAAAACTCTTATCTCCAATCAACCACCACCAAAAAAAAAAAAAAGCCAGAAGTAGAGTTTTGGTTCAGTCTTGAGCCCTGAGTTCAAACCCCAGTAGCAAGCAGTACCCTAGTTTTGAAGTCAAAGTTCCAAGTTCAAGTCCAAGTTTGCTTGCATCAATTCAAGTAAGCTGTTAGTGACTTGACTTGCTCATCTGTGAAAGGGGACTAAGGCTAGGGGGGGAAATCAATACCTAATCATGAAATTGTTTTGGAAAAGATGAAAAGGCCATGGAAGGCAAGGGATTACCATGACCTCAGCTCCTGTAGGGGTGTGTCACCGTATGCAGAGTTTCAACAGATTAGTAATTGTTCTCAATCATTACCCCAAGGGGAACATGGGCGGAGAGGGTATGACCAATTTCAACAGACACCAGGAGTCCAGAGCCTCAGGTGCTGCTTCCAGCTTTGCCCACAACTAGCTGGGTGACCTCATTGCTGCTCAACGCTGCCTTGGTTTCCTCATCTAGCAATCAGAGCTAACTCTTGTCTGCCCAGAATGGAACCCAGGACAGTTCTGAGCACAAAGAACCTTCATTCTTTTACCACAGGAGACTCGGATCCCCTCAATTAATCCTAGGGCAGCTACAAGCCACCCTGGACAGCACCCCAGGGAAAGACTCAAGGGTACAGGTCTGCCAATCACAAAGACAAAACCAAGCTGCCAATGCCAATATCTCCCAAAAGTCATTAATTGGCAAATTCTCTAGAGCTCATTTGGGCCAGCATAGACAGCTTTTTCTCTGCCTGCCAATCAAATGCCAACTGTACCCAGGTGCCGTGAACCTCCAAAAAACTGTTTCCACCAAGCTGGATGAAGGGGCAAGTACAATATCAAGTGGCTAGAGCTGGTGTAACTCTCAGCATGTACACATCTCTCTCCTCCATCATTGCCTTCTGCAAACCAGAGCTCCATTAACCAAGGCTACCTCTTCCCTCCCTTCCCAGAAGACTCTTGGGCAGAACTGGCCTGGCTTCCAGGTCTCCCTTGAGGTCATCTGTCTATTGGCATCCGAGATCCATCATGCATGCATCTTCCTCCCTGCTTGGGCTCTATTCTGTGTACGTGTGTGTGTGCATGCGTGCATGTGCACACGTGTGTGCTAGTCCTAGGACTTGAACTCAGGACCTGGGCACTGTACTTTAATTTTTGTTTTTTGTTTTTTTTCTCAAGTACTCAACCACTTAAGCCACAGCTCCACTTCTGGCTTTTGCTAGTTAACTGGAGATAAGAGTCTCACAGACTTTCCTGACTGGGCTGGTTTTAAACCACAATCCCCAGATCTCAGCCTCCTGAGTAGATAGGATTACAGACATGAACCACAGGTGCCCAGCCTGGAAATGTTTCTTAATATGGGTATATAATATAGGACTCCTGCCTACAGCTCAAATACCAGGAGTACACACAAAGAGACCGCACAATGTAGGGGCTTTCAGACTCTGCTTCAGAAGCCAATAGGATAAGAGGAAGTGGGGGAAAGCTCCAATCCATCCATGCTATGGGCTGGGTTTTTGGGTAACGAACATTTGAAACCAGCACTCTCTGCTCTAACCCACTTATTGGACAAAAGGAGGAAACTGAGGTCCAGATAGGGGAAGGTTCTGGCCTTAGTCACCCTCTGTGCCAAGGCCATCCTGAAGGTAGTCACAGGTCACTCTGCAAAATTAACTCTTTGAGCTCCTCCCAGCTCAGTGCATGGGAGAGAAATGAGGACCACAGAGGAAAGCAGGCAGTGGTTTAGGACAGACAGACAGACACACACACACACACACACACACACACCATGAGGAAGTATCACACACAGGCTGCTTAAACTAACATGCGAAAAACAAAACAACACCTCCATCTTTGTGGTAAAGATCCAGCCCTCTGGGTGACCCACATGTTCACCCCCATATCTAACAAACAGGAAGGCATCGAGTGTCACCTCAGGTCTCATTCCTGCCAGTAGAAAACTGGCTGCAGGACAGTAGATATCTATCCAAAACACACACCCCTGCCCCCCTGCCCAAGCCTCCCAAGAAACACTGGATTGTCAGTGGGACCATTTTAAGTGCTAAAAATGCATCCAGGGCTCTGAGCCCAGTAGCTCATGACTATAATCTGAGCTACGCAGAAGGCTGAGATCTGAGTGAGGACTGAAGTTCAAAGCCAGTCTAGGGAGGATTCATTTTTTCAGTGGGCTGTGGGGCTTTAACTCAGCCTGAGCGCTGTCCCTGAGCTCTTCAGCTCAACACTAGAACTCTACTACTTGAATTACAGAGCCACTTCTGGTTTTCTGGTGGTTAGTTGGAGATAAGAGTCTCACAGGGCTGGGAGGGTGGCCTCATTGGGAGAGTGCTTGCCTCACATGCATGAGGCCCGGGGTTCGATTCCTCAGCACCACATAAACAGAAAATGCCAGAAGTAGTGCTGTGGCTCAAGTGCCTTGAACTGAAGAGCTGAGGCACCCAGGCCCAGAGTTCAAGCCCCATGACTGACCAAAAAAAAAAAAAAAAAATGTCTCACAGACTTTCTTGCCTGGGCTGGTTTTGAACCATGATCCTCAGCCTCCTGAGTAGCTAGGGTTATAGGCATGAGCCATGGGTATTCAGCCAGGGAGGATTCTTATCTCCAATTAACTACCAAAAAGCTGAAAGTGGAGCTGTGGCTCAAGTAGTGGAGTGTGCCCAGGCCCTGAGTTCAAGCCCCAATACCAACACACACACACACACACACACACACACACACACAAATCTGGGGAAAGGAGTGGTTGGAAAATCTAGCTTTAACTAAAACAGCTAAAATGCCATCTCCCCCCCCCTCCTCTCTGTCAACAGGACTCCCCTAGAAACATCTATACAGCTGTAACTGGGCAGGCAGAGCAGCAGCCCCTAGGGGGCTCCCCTGGGTTTCAGAGTACAGGCACTGGGAGGGGGGGGTCCCCTCCACCAGCCTGAGGCAGCTACCACCCTAATGCACTCTTTCTCCGCATACCCCTAATATCACTGCCTACTCATCTCCGCTTTGCGGAGTTAGGGTGAGGGTTAGCTGGATCTTTGCAAGCTATGAGAATGCACAATGCCCAGCCCAGGGACCAGGTCAACTGTCGGCAGTGCCCTTACACAAAGCCCTTCACCCCAGCTTGCCACAGACTAGCCAGCTGCCCCCAGAGCACCCGAATTCCGCCCCAATGGAGACCCCTTAAGTGGAGATCTACCCACCCATCCCTTAGTCCTCTAAGAGGCTTAACTGGGCCACTGCACGTGTACCCCAAACCCCTGGTGGGGGACGGGGTAGGGCGGAGATCAAGAGGTGTGAGTAGCCAGGTGGCTCAAGCCTGTAATCCTACCTACTTAGGAGGCTGAGATCTGAGGCTTGAGGGTTCAAAGCCAGCCTGGGCAAGAAGGTCTGTGAGACTCTTACCTCCAATTAACCAGCAAAAAAAAAAAGCCAAACGTGGAGGTGTGGTTCAAATGGTAGAGTGCCAGCCTTGAGCAAAGGAAGAAGCTGAGGCAGCATCCAAGCCCGGAGTCTCACACACACACACACACACACACACACACACACACACACACAGTTGTGAGAGGCAGGGACAGTGAGGCATGGTCTCTGTCCCCTGCCCACTGGCTCCAGGCCTCTGGTCCCCATCTCCTCCCTGCTCACCAGGCCTCTCTGCCCAGCCGAGCCCAGGCTAGCCACCCTCTCCCCATCGAAGGTTGCTGCAGAGCTGGGCCTCCCCAGACTACAGCAGGCTGGGGGCCCCCTAAAGCCCCGCCATAAACTCCTCTGCCCCCCCCCCCCCGTCCCGCCCCGTCGAGCCCCGCAGAGAGCTGCGCTTGTTACTCACGGCGGGCGGGCGGCGCGGGACACCGAGGAGGGGGTGCGGGGGGGGGGGGGGTAAACCGGGGCGCGGTGGGCACTGGAGTGCGGCCGGGGTGGGGTGGGGGGGTGCCACCCGGGTGCTGGGCGCTCGCTCCGCCGCTGCCTCCGCTTCCTGCGCTGCTTCGGGTCGGACCAGCCCGGCCGCCGCCGGGGAGCCGAGGGGGGCGGAGCGGCCGGGTCCCGTCCCAGGCCCGGGTTGGAGGCGAGTCCGGCCCGCCCGGCTTGGGGTTCTGGGGCGCCCCCTGCTGGAAACCCCCTGCGGATGGCTCACAGGGTGGGGTGGTGGAGTAGGGGGAGGTGGATGGGGTCTGACAGAGGCCGGGCACCCCCAGGGCTCCAGGCTTCCCTTGGTCAGATTATCTCTACACCCCCCACACACACCCCCCCCCCCCACCAACCTCATGGATGGGTCTGGAAAGTTCCCCAGGGCAGGGACTGCAGTGGACACACACCTGCCATACCCCAGAAAGGCCAGGCCTCATCTGTCCTGGCACCGTTGTAGTGAGCACTGTCCCCCAAATCATCATCAAATCTTCCCAGGCTCCAAGGTTCACTCCTGTAATCCTAGCTACTCAAGAAGGCTGAGATCTGAGGATCGCGGTTCAAAGCCAGCCCCGGGCAGCAAGGCCATGAGATTCTTAATGCCAAATGAACCAACTAAAAGGCAGAAATGGACCTGCGGTTCAATTAGCTCAACCTCCCTTTTTCTGGGGAGCGGGGAGGGCGGGGGAGGACCACGGCTTGAACTCGGGACCTGGATGGTGTCCTTTAGCTTTTTACACTCAAGGCTGGTGCTCTGCCACTTGGGCCACACCTCCACTTTCAGCTCTTTGGTGGTTCATTGGAAGCAATCATCTCATTGGGGTTTCCTGCCAGGGCTGGCTTTGAACCTCAATCCTCAGATCTCAGCCTCCTAAGTAACTAGGATTACAACAGTGAGCCACCAGCTTTGAGGCTTCCTTTCTTCCTTCTGCCAAAAGATCCCAGAGGGATGAAAAGGAATAGTAGTGCGGGACAAATGGGGAGAAGGAAGTGGAAATAGAATTAAGGCCAAGTTTAGTGGACATGCTTCAAGACAAGAATATTTCACTTAGGGGCTGGGAAGGTGGCTCAGTGGTAGAGCGCTTGCCTTGCATGCATGAGGCCCTGGGTTCGATTCCTCACTCAGCACCACATAAGCAAAAAGAGCAAAGCCGGAAGTGGCGCTGTGGCTCAAAGTGGTGGAGCACTAGCCTTGAGCTAAAGAGCTGAGGGACAGCGCCCAGGCCCAGAGTTCAGGCCTCCCCCCCCCCAAAAAAAAAGAATATTTCACTTAGGGGAAGGAAATAGAAAGACTACTTGCTAGGGCGTTCATCCCTAAATCTCAGAGAGGAGAGTTAACAATCTGGCTCATCCCTGTTGATATCAGCAACCCAATTATTTATAAACAAGCCATCCCAGCCTTGATCGTTCAAAACACAATTTTCATGACCCCATCCTGTGATTCATTTCTGCTTCACACTGTCCCGGTCTTCAACAAGAAAGGCTTATGGGCTGGCACTGGCTTAGATGGCTGAGAGGAGGAATTATCTTGAGATAGCATATTCAAAACTGGGCTGAGCATCTACAAGCTGCTTCTCCATAGCATTCTACCACTTTTAGCTACAGCTCCACTTCCAGTTTTCTGGTGGTTAATTGGAGACAAGAGTCTTATGAACGTTCCTGCCTGGAGCTGGCTTTGAATCATGACCCTCAAATCTCAACCTCCTGAGTAGCTAGGATTACGGGTTATAGGCATGAGTCCTGGGACTAGAACTGGAGTCCTGGGACTAGAACTCAAGGCCTGGACACTGACCCTGGGCTTTTTTTGCTTGAGGCTAGAGTTCTATCACTTTGAGCCATAGCTCCATTTCCAGCATTTTGGAGATTAGAACCTCATGGACTTTCCTGCCCAGGGTTGGCTTTGAACTGCTGTCCTCAGATCTCACCCTCTTCAATAACTAGGGTTACTGGCAGTGTGAGTCATAGGTGCCCATCTCAAGGGGTTATTTTTCAGATGAGAAAATTGAGGCTCAGAGAATGCACAAGGTCTTACCTCCCATGGAAACTTCCTGGATGTACTCCAAGAGTTAAATGCCTCTCTCCTCTGAACCCTACCACTTCTGATTTGATCCTTTCTTTTTTTAAAATTTTTTTTGGGGGGAGGTCTAGTCATGGGGATCTGAACTCTGGGCCTGGGTGCTGTCCCTCAGCTCCTCAGCTCAAGCTAGCACTCTACCACTTGAGCCACAGTGCCACTTACGGCTTTTTTCTGCTTATGTGGTACTATGGAATCGAACCCAGGGCCTCATGCATGAGAGGCAAGCACTCTACCACTGAGCCAACTTCCCAGCCCCTGATCCTTTCTTATCATTCCCTTTCCACTAATTTAGTTATGATTAGTGTCCACTCTTGTTTTGTTTTGTTTTGTTTTGTTTTTGTACTGGTACTGGGACTTGAACTCAGGGCCTTGGTGCTGTCCCTGCACTTTTTCTTTTTTTTTCTCTTCTTTTCTTTTTTGATCAAGGCTGGCACTACTTGAACAACGCTCCACTTCCAGCTTTTTAGTGGTTAAATTTGCAATAAGAGTACCACAGACTTTTCCACCTGGGCTGGCCTTGAATCTCAATCCTCAGATCTCAGCTTCCTAAGTAACTAAGAATTTTAGGAGTGCGCCATCAGCACGCAGCAGCATCTACTTTTCTTATCTTCAAATTCCACACAATGTCCATTCTGAACTCATAGAATACCTGGTATCTCTAGCCCAATAAAAAGTTGTAAACTAGGGCTGGGAAGGTGGCTCAGTGGTAGAGCGCTTGCCTTGCATGCCTGAGGCCCTGGGTTCCATTCCCCAGCACCACATAAGCAAAAAGAAAAAAGCTGGAAGTGGCGCTGTGGCTCAAGTGGTAGAGTGCTAGCCTTGAGCTGAAGAGCTGAGGGACAGTGCCCAGGCCCAGAGTTCAGGCCCCACGACTGGACCCAAAAAAAAAAAAAAAAAAGTTGTAAACTAAACTGGGTGTCAGTGGCTCAATCTGAGGATCACGGCTCAAAGCCAGCCTGGGCTTTGAGACCCTTATCTCCCAATTAACCACCAGAAAACCAGAAGTGGCACTGTGGCTCAAGTGGCAGAGCACTAGCCTTGAGCTGAAGAGCTGAGGGACAGCGCCCAGACCTAGAGTTCACAACCAGTACACACACACACACACACACACACAAGAAGGGATCATAAAAGAAGGGATCATCTCTTGTTTTCTATTGTCTGGTCCTAATACTCAAGGGGATTGAGATTGAAAGATGACTCGATCCTAGGAATTCAAAACCAGTCTGGTCGACACAGCAAGAGCATATCATTTAAAAAATAGACTTCAGGAGGGTACCTGTAATCCTAGCTACTTAGGAAGCTGAGATCTAAAGATCATGGTTTGAAGCCAGCCTGGGAGAAGTCCATGAGACTCTTATCTCCAATTAACCAGCAAAACGTTCAAAGTGGAGGTATGGTAGAGTGCTAGCCTTGAGTGAAAGAAGCTGAAGGAAACAAGGCTACTGGTGAAGAAGTAATTGGCAGGCAGTGGCAGTGGGGATATGCTAAAAGCACATTTTAGTCCTAGGACTTGAACTCAGGGCCTGGGCTCTGTCCCAGAGCATTTTTGGATTTTGGGGTTTTTTTTGTTGTTTTTTTTCTCCTCAAGGATAGTGCTCTACCACTTGAGCCACAGATCCACTTCAGGCTTTTTGGTGGTTCATTAGAGATAAGAATCTCATGGACTTCCTTGCTTGGACTAGCTTTGAATCAAGAGCCTCAGATCGCAGTCTCTTGAGTAGCTAGGATTACAGGTGTGAGCCACCAGCTCCCAGCTTAAGCTATTTTTGTCATTCCTTAAATGTCTGCCACTGAGCGCCGGTGGCTCACATCTGTAATCCTAACTACTCAGGAAGCTGAGATCTGAGGATTATGGTTCAAAGCCAGCCTGGGAAGCTCAAGAGCTCAAGGACAGCACTCAGGGCCAGAGTTCAAGCCCTATGACTGACCATATATATATATATATATTTTATATATATATATATATATATTATATATATATATATATATTTTATATATATATATTTTATATATATATATATATATATATATATATATATATATATATATATATAAAATCTGTCATGAACTCTCCTGGGGGAGAAGTTAGATCTTGTTTACCTTTGCACCACTCCACTCAGACTTGGCCCTGAGTAGCTTTTTTTCTTTTTCTTTTCTTTTTTTTTTTTCGATCGTGTGGCTTATACTCTGGGCTTGAGCGCTGTCCCTCAGCTCTTCAGGTGACTTGAGCAACAGCGCACTTCTGGTTTTCTGATGGTTTATTGGAGATAAGAGTCTCACGGACTTCCCTGCCTGGGCTGGCTTTGAACCGCGATCCTCAGATCTCAGCCTCCTGAGTAGCTAGGATTACAGGTGTGAGCCACCAGCTCCCGGCTCTTGAGTAGTTTCTTGGTGTCAGATAAAAGTCAGGCTTCTGACAGGGGGCTGCTTGCAGATCACCAGGTACCGGATTGCAGAACAGCGGATCGCCAGGAACAGAGAAACCTACCAGCCGGGAGTCTCCAGGAGGATCCCACCCCACCCATCACTCTCCACCGGAGCGGAGAGGCTCCATCCCGCCAAAGCCGCCCGGCACCAGCAGCGCCACAAAGGGACCTGTCCGCAGAACACCCGCCCAATCGCGATCGCAACGACCCGGCGGGGGGCCGCCCAACCCAGCCCGCAACCACCCCAACTGAACTCGGACTGCAACAACAACTGACGGACTGCAACAACAACTGACGACCTACAGGGTGAGTACCCATCAGGGGACAGGGAATCCATCAAGGGAGACCAGAGCTGGAGGGAATCCCCAGACCCTGACCTAGACTCCCTACCCCAACACCCGGACCACAGGACCCACTAAAACTGGGAACTGTTCGAGAGC